TTCGCTTCCACTTTGCCTAGGGATCGACACAAATTTTCCCCTAGGGCCATCCCTGTCATTTTTCTTGGGTATCCCCCCGGTTATAAGGCTTATAAAGTTTTGGATCCTGTTAGCAATCGTGTTTTTATTACTAGAGATCTTGTTTTCCATGAGGATGTTTTTCCCTTTCTTCGCAAGCCTTCCCTTGACCATTCCAATTTTTTTTCTGACTCTATCCTACCTTAACCCACTGTCCTTCCTCCCATTACCTCTTCTAGACCTTCTAGACCTACCAAACCTCCTTCTTACCTTCAAGATTTCATTTGTTCTACTGTTTCCACTATTCCCTATCCTCTTTCATCTGTTTTATCATACAGCCGCTTATCACCCTCTTTTCAGGCTTTCATTAATTCGGTATCCCATCATATTGAGCCTTCCACATACCATGAAGCATCTCAAAACCCTTTATGGCAGCAAGCTATGACCCTTGAGTTAGATGCCTTGGAATCAAATGGTACTTGGTCTTTGGTCCCTTTACCTCCTGGAAAACGTGCAATTGGTTGCAAATGGGTTTTCAAGTGTAAACTTAATGCTGATGGGTCCTTGGAGAGGTACAAGGCTCGTTTGGTTGCCCAAGGTTTCACTCAACAAGAGGGCATTGACTACTTTGAGACTTTTTCCCCTGTGGCTAAGATTAGTTCTGTGAGAATATTACTTGCTTTGGCTTCTATTTCAGGTTGGTCTCTCCACCATTTGGATATCAACAATGCTTTTTTGCACGGTGATCTTTCGGAGGAGGTTTACATGCGGCCTCCACTTGGTTATCACCGTGAGGGGGAGCCTTTACCTTCCAACCTTGTTTGTAAGTTACACAAGTCACTTTATGGTCTAAAACAAGCATCCAGACAGTGGTTTCTAAAGTTTTCTTCAGTTTTGACATCAAATGGTTTCAAACAATCCTCTGCAGATCATTCTCTGTTTGTTAAAATTAATGGTTCTAATTTTTTGGGTCTCTTAGTATACGTAGATGATATTATTGTGGCTGGTAATAACCCTGCTGAAGTTGCTAAGCTGAAAATATTTTTAAATCAATTTTTCAAGTTAAAGGATATTGGAGAACTGAAATATTTTCTTGGGATTGAGATAGCCCGCAATCATAAAGGAATATCCTTGAATCAGAGAGGTTATGCTTTGAAAATCCTATCAGATTCTGGTTACTTGGGTTGCAAACCCAAATCCACTCCTATGGAGCCAAATGCTAAATTGTCTTTAGAAGAGGGAAAACTGTTAGATGATCCAACTACTTATAGAAGATTGATTGGAAGATTGTTGTATTTAACTATTACTAGGCCAGATATTTGTTTTGCTGTAAATAAGTTGAGCCAATTTCTTGCACATCCAAGAGAACCTCATATGCAAGCTGCGAATAGACTGCTGCAATACATCAAAGGGACTGCTGGGCAGGGGCTGTTTTATGGTTCTGAAAATGGTATAAAGCTGAAAGCATTTGCAGACTCAGACTGGGCCTCATGTTGTGACACAAGGAGGTCTGTTACAGGTTATGCAGTTTTTATTGGTGAATCTTTGGTGTCATGGAAGTCAAAGAAGCAAACGACAGTTTCAAGATCTTCTGCAGAGGCTGAATACAGGGCTATGGCCAATGTTTGTTGTGACTTAACTTGGATTAGCACTCTGTTGCATGAATTGAATTTAAAGCATGATGGTCCAGCCTTATTATTTTGTGACAATCAAGCAGCTCTTCACATAGCTGAAAATTCTGTTTTCCATGAGAGAACAAAACACATTGAAATTGATTGTCACTTGGTGAGAGAAAAGATAATCAGAGGTGAAGTTAAAGCTTTACATGTCAGCTCCCAGAATCAGTTAGCAGATTTGTTAACCAAACCTCTGTTTCCTACACAATTTGCTGCACTGCTGTCCAAGATGGGAATTTCAAAAATTTATTTCCCACCTTGAGGGAGAGTATTAAGAGTGGGATAGTTTTGTAATTTACTGTTTTATCATTCTGTTATAGTTTTTGTTATCAGTTTAGATTTTTATTCCTTTTATTCATTTTATTTCTTTCCTAAGAATACGCAAGTTAGTTAGAACAGAATAGGTTCTAGAAGCATTCTTTTCTTCTGTATAAATTGCTATGTACTGTACACCTTTGAATCCATCAAGGAATATGAAAATATATTGAGCTTTCTTTCTCCTCTAATAGTTTACGTGTTTTGTCACTGGTTTCCTTGCTATCAAAGTTTCCTTCGGTCAACTAAAGTTAGAAAAATCTTTTGCTTATAACTGTTTCTCTCCTACAATGACTGGACCACGGCTTTCCATTTCGGCAAAATAAATTCTTAAGTATTCATGGATACGTTAAGGGAAAGTTTATTATATATCATTTAATTTAATCTATATCACTTCAGTAATAATATTAATTATATTCATAAAATAAGAAATAATAATTCAAATAATTCACATTAAACGGTACACAATATTTTTTCTTATTTAAATTCTTTGGATTATTGTTTCAAATTTTACTGCAAGGGCATTTTCTCAGTACTGGTGAACCGTCTCTAACGACTCTTTTCTCTTGCACTCCAGAGTCTAGCTAGAGAGCGGGCCCTTTCAAGCACACAAAGAAAAGAAAGGAGGTTAGCATTGAAATTTCGGAAAATTTATTAATTTGTCATACAAGATATTTGAGTAATTAAAGGCTAGCTGTACACTTGTTAGACTAGATTTAAACTATAAGAATTATTTAGCTGTTTGTCTCACACAAACATTTGTTCGCAACCTCTGACAGTTGAATCGGTTGAGAATTAATACGAACTTTACCAAATATGTGGATATAGTTTATAAATTTCAGTCTTATTTGCTAACAACATGAGGCAGAAAATAAAATGTCAAACTTAATTGTTTATATATTTATCATGAAAATTTTAGTTGATTTTTCAATTATATTGGATATCTGGAATATTTAACCAAGCTGGTTTTAGGAGGGTATAACGCTTTGCTCCTTCCCCTTGTGTATACATCTACAATATTTAAGCATGCGCTTCAAGTTTAAGATTTGTCGACGGATTTATGGTAAATTTCATATGAAATAACATACCCACAAAATGGATTTGGTAATATGCATAATTTATAATTTTATGCTATCTTATATATTTTTATGTATAAGGTTTATTACGAATCAAACTTCACAGTAACCTTTACATTATCCTTTTATATTTTGAGTTTCATCACTGATAAAAGAGAAACTCAATTTCATAACCACCTTAAGAAATTTCAGCAACTTGACCAATGATATTATAGGTATACACACGAATTGGCTTCAAACTTTCCAATTTTTGCCCAACTTGGTGGTGTATAAGTATCAAGTATCTAACCCATTAGAAATGAAATAATGGAAAGAAATTTAGATAATGTGACAGTACCATTTTTCCTTCATATATTTAGTTTCCACATTCCAAAACCGCTTAATATACCATATTTCAATTCCACACGTCACAATTTTCTCTCATAGCTCACTTCCCATCTTTTAATACCTAACGTCACTTGTTATTGCTGCCATAGAATCATTGTCTAGAAGACTAGAGCCACTATCCCGCTATTTTATTGTCAACATTCTCAAGCCACGTACGACTAAATATTACACGTACTATCTCGACACGTGAGTGCCTTAAATATATATATATATATATATATATATATATATATATATATATACACGAGACAGGATCCTTTGACACCGGTGTCAAATTTAAAATTTGACAGCCGTTAGATCAAAAAAATCAATGGTGTCACATGCTTACAAATCAGAGTCGTTGATCTTTTTCGATCTAATGGCACTCTCAGATGAGGTGTCAAACTTCAAATTTGACACCGGTGTCAAATGATCCTACCTCTATATATATATATATAGAGGTAAGATCCTTTGACACCAGTGTCAAATTTCAAATTTGACACCTCATATGAGAGCTGTTAGATCAAAAAAGATCAACGACTCTGATTTGTAAGCATGTGACACCATTGATTTTTTTTATCTAATGGCTATGAGATGAGGTGTCAAATTTAAAATTTGACACTAGTGTCAAATGATCCTACCTCATATATATATATATATATATATATGAGTAAGGATATTCTAACTACCAAAAATTCTTACTACTAACTTACTACCCATCACATAATCATTGGATCAAAGAGAGAAAATGTTAAAAAGTTTTTGAAGAGAGAGAAAATGTTAAAAAGTTTTTGAAGAGAGAGAAAATGTTAATCTAACGGATTAGATAGGTAGTAAGTTGGTAGTGAAAATTTTTAGTAGTGAGAATATCCCTCCTCTATATATATATATAATTACTGACCGTGTCACGTGATTACCGTACGTGGAAAACGACAATTCATGTGACGTTTGCATTTTTCATAGTATTTTGTTTTATTTTATTTTATAATTTTAACAAACGCACACAATAATCAACTCGTTCATTCATAGAAAGTTGCGCTCACATTCTCTAAACAATTAACATTAATGACCATGCATATTATATTATCTGTTGTTAGAATTAACATTATATTATTTCAATATCCAAAAAAAACATTTTATATTATTTCACGTATGCAAAATGAATTATTTCTCCAAGGAGGCCCTCTTTTGTTTTCTTCTTAAATAAATGCTATCATGATTTATCTATGGTGAGGGATTTGAGTAGTTTGTATTAAGTTATGTATTCAATTCCTATTATCTATTCAAAAAAAAAAATCTATATTTGTATATAATTTTATTTTATTTTTTTAAATCTGGTTTCTTTAGCCTGAGATGTATATATATATATATATATATGACCACCTAATATCATCACTTTATTATTTACGCCAGAAATTTCCCAACAACTCTCTCCTAATTAGACCTTCTCATCATAATGACATTGCCACATATATATAAGCAAGATTAATGTTCCCCTTTCATTCATCAGATTTCGAACAAAGTTATCAACGTGGCCTACGATACCATCATGCAAATGGAAACCCTCCCTCTCCTCCTTACCCTAATAGCTGCTCTTTCTGTCTATTTTCTCTGGTTCCATCTCCTCGCTAGAAACCTAACCGGTCCAAAAGCATGGCCCTTCGTGGGTAGTCTCCCGCTTCTGTTCAAAAACCGGGACCGGGTCCACGATTGGATTGCTAGCAACCTCCGCGCAACCGGTGGTTCAGCCACCTACCAAACCTGCATCATCCCTCTACCTTTCTTGGCTCGCAAGCAAGGGTTTTACACAGTCACATGCCACCCCAAGAATTTAGAGCACATCCTGCGAACCCGGTTCGACAACTACCCTAAAGGACCGAAGTGGCAGACCGCATTTCACGACCTCTTGGGCCAAGGCATCTTCAACAGCGACGGAGAAACATGGCTCATGCAACGCAAAACCGCAGCTCTAGAATTCACAACACGAACTCTGAGACAAGCTATGTCTCGTTGGGTGAACCGTGCCATCAAGAATCGGTTATGGTGCATTCTAGACAAAGCATCCAAAGATAACGTCTCGGTGGATTTGCAAGACCTTCTTCTACGCTTAACCTTTGATAACATATGCGGACTCACCTTCGGAAAAGACCCTGAAACTCTTTCCCCTCACCTACCCGAAAACCCGTTTACCGTTGCTTTTGACACTGCCACTGAAGCCACCATGCATAGGTTCCTTTACCCTGGTATCCTTTGGAGGTTCCAGAAGCTTCTCTGCATTGGAACCGAGAAGAAGTTAAAACACAGCCTTAAAATTGTTGAAACCTACATGAACGACGCCGTTGTGGATCGCAAGGAAACACCCTCTGATGACTTGCTATCTCGTTTCATGAAGAAACGTGACGCCGACGGAAAACCTTTCTCCGCCGGTGTGCTGCAACGCATTGTCTTGAACTTCGTCCTCGCCGGAAGGGACACGTCATCGGTGGCGCTCAGCTGGTTCTTCTGGCTCGTCATGAACCACCCCAAGGTGGAGGACAAGATAGTTAAGGAGATAACGGCGGTTCTCGAGGATACTCGAGGCGGAGAACGACGGAGATGGGTAGAGGATCCTCTTGACTTCGGCGAAGCAGACCGGTTGGTTTATCTGAAGGCTGCGTTGGCCGAAACGCTGCGTTTGTACCCTTCTGTGCCGCAGGACTTCAAGCAGGCCATCTCCGACGACGTGTTGCCGGATGGAACGGTAGTTCCGGCTGGTTCGACAGTGACGTATTCGATATACTCAGCGGGGAGGATGGAGACGATATGGGGTGAGGATTGCATGGAGTTTAAACCGGAGAGGTGGCTTTCGGCTCGAGGTGACCGGTTCGAACCGCCTAAGGATGGGTTCAAGTTCGTGGCTTTTAATGCTGGACCGAGAACTTGTTTGGGGAAGGACTTGGCTTACCTGCAAATGAAGTCTGTGGCTGCGGCTGTACTGTTGCGCTACCGACTGTCTCTAGTTCCCGGTCACCTTGTGGAGCAGAAAATGTCTCTTACGTTGTTCATGAAGAATGGACTCAGGGTGTTCTTGCATCCACGTAAGCTTCAAGATGGGCCAGGGGTTGCCACCTCAGCATAACTGAGATTGCATCGAAGATATCAAGGAATACGGTGGCAATATGGTGATTCAGCAGGATTCATGTGAGGGTATTTGCATATGTATCTTCATTTTATGTTTAAAATTTGGTGTTGGATATTTGCACATTAATATTTCTATCTCTTTTTTATTTTACCCTTTTCTTGATGGAAAAATCAAAATAAAGAGAGTTTGTGTTGAAATTTATATTTTTCTTATTTTATTATTTAAAAAAGAAAGGATATATGAATAATGTATAAGTAACATTATTGTTAATTGCACATGTGGGGTGAGATATATACTAAAGTGGAGGAGTAGGAGTGGTGTCCCTTGTTTATGTTGTTTTGCTCCATATCAAAAGAGTTTTATTATTTTTATTATTATCTATTATATCAAAATTGTCAGGAAAATGAAATTGTGAAACTAGTAAAAATTATACAGAAATTTCAAAACGCAGAATTTTTTTTTATATTTATTTCGCCGCCACCATATCTACCTAAATTCTGAATTCGAATGGATGCTAGTCAATTTCTCACTGGATACAATGAAAAAAAATTGATTTGTTTTCTACCACCAAAAAACAAGCCTAAGACACGAATGATAGTTTACAGGTTGATTATCATATGCTAATGCTTCCTGTGCACACCAGAACAGAAGAAATATATAATTTGTTATTTAGGTAGATTCTACCTTTTATATGAAGAACCATTAATAGAAGAAAACTCTTTCTAATAACTAGCAAACAGTAATTACCCACGCACTTGTCCAACAACCAAGTGTGCCCCAAAAAGGACCCAAATGTGCCAGCTGATTGGGAATTGATACAAAATATAGGTTATAGCGGATAGGGGTACGCAAAAGATCTAACTTCACAAAAAAAAAAAATTTGCCTAAGCTAGATTCCAAACTTGTTTTATGGGCGGGCAATACTGAGATCAATTGAAGTTATATCATATCTTGGCGTTCTAAATGCACTTGTAAAAAACAAAAAATATGATTTATCATTTTATTGCAGATTTGGTTTCTAGGTATTTTCCCTTCATGAATTACGATTATGAGTTTAAATAAGATTTGACATTCATGACTTTGATCCATTTAATCATTCTTTTCAAGATTTCAAAGTTCCGAAACGTTAAGCAAGTAAATGACTAATAAAACAAAATGACAAAATTGGAAGAGGAGCTAACAAAAAGCATTAAATTTCCTGCAAAGATTATTGCAGTGAAGAATTCAAAACAAAACAAAGCAAATGACCTTTGATAACAACAGAAATGCCTAAAACACCATCAGAAAATTACCAGCTAATGGAAATAACATAGTTTCTACTTCAAAATAAGAAGAGTATACAATGACAATAATTGAACTAATAAGAAGAAACAAACTCTATCAAATCCATCTATCTTTTCCCTTCTGAACTCTTTTTACCCTCCCTCTGAAGAAGATCCTTGTTCAGGTACGACTCCCATTATCACTGGAAAATGATGAACTGGCTGCAACATTCAACAAGTGAGAGAGATAAACATCAGGAGAGGAAGGTAATTTACAGGTGTAGGATTGTCTATGCTGGGGAATAAACTATCATCCAAGTGCATGAGATCTTGGTATTGGATGGAAGACATCTTGGGGTGCTCAGAAGCAGCTTCAACATTAACAAGTGTTTTTGCGGATGAGTTCTTCAGTTTTTTCTGCTCTGGTGATTCAACCCACGAGTTAATGTGGCCTAACACTCAAGAAACAAGCTTTGTTGGTGGGTTCTTTGCAAATGAAGAGGCTTTGACGTGGGGAAACACTCATGCGCACGTCAAAGCCTCTTCATCTAGAATGTTTTTTTGATACGAGGGTAGTATCAAAAATTGAATGTCATAGCATATTTTATACTATGTCTTACGGGTAAGATATAATGTAGCATACAAAAATAACTTATTCTTTTTTCTCTCTCTGATACAACACAAGCTGATATAATGCATTTCTATTAGTCGGATGTACCAGCGACAGTGGTATTGAAAAAAAAATTCCTTCATTTGCTAAGAGCCCACAAACAAAGCTTATTTCTTGAGTACTTAGCCACAATAACCCTGTGGGTTGAACCACCAGAGCAGGAAAAATTGAAGAACTCATCAGCAAAAACACTTGCATTGTTGTTCCTTGCAATGTTCTCTACATGTTGCTAGTGAGGGAAGTGGTTCTGTTGGCTCCATAAGAACCTATCTATAGATGTCAAACGAAGGTCTGATCTACGCATGGAAGGGTTAATGGCCTTAACATTTTTTTGTAACTTTTTTTTTTTCTCTCTTCCATTTTATATTATTTAGGTAGATTAGCATGTCATCTCAAAATATACAATTTCCACATAAAAACTTAATCTTGTCATAAAAGACAAAATTGGTTTTGGTTTAAAGTCGGTTGATAATCAGTTACAAAACGAATTTTAAATTTTAAACCAATTTAAAATCAAAACAAGTTTCCAACCATACAAAGATTTTAATTTAAAATTGATTTTGAATGTAGTTTAAATCAAAACAGTTTAAAACCATAAACCGGCTTTGTAACGGTTTCAAATCGATTTCAAAAGACAAAACCAACTTTAAAAAATAAAAAAATTGATTTAAAAAACCCAAAGGTTTCATTAAAAATTGAGTCCGCTCCATGCACATCCTAAGATTATAGGTGGAGTGTAATTGTGTGCCCAGGAGTTATATATATTATAATTAGATTTAGAATAATTTACAAAAGTATAAAAAACAGATTATATATGCTTGTTAATCATTGCGTAAGAAAAATATTTTATCCCATTTTAATAGATTCTATTAGTCAATAGGGGTGGATTGTAATTTTAATTACAAAATGGGGTAGAGTGTATGTTCCTAAAACCTAAAGATAAGTGTAACTTTTTGTATATTTTCACATTTCATCATTTATTTACTTATTCTATTATGCAAATCATGATACAAATTTATCTAAACAAAATGGTAATATGCTTTCCACTTAGTAGCTAGTAGCCGTTGGAGCAATATATTACAAAAAGACTAGTAAGGATGCGCTTGAATAAATCTTTTAAAAAGTATTTTTTTATGATATAATTTTTAAAAATGTATTCAAATTATACTTTTTTGATTTTGATAAAAATTAATAAAATAGAGTTTATTCAATATGTTTTAAATATTGTTATAAAAAATTGAACATATTTTTAATAAAAAAATACTTTTTAATGGACCAATTAATTGTCATAAGCTGTAACGTTGGCCATCAAGTGTCCTTTAAATTTTTTTCCGTTTGATCCCATAAAGGCAATAAAGGTTTACGAGGTTTCAATGCTCTTTAGTACAAGTTAATATATGGTCTTTTGGCCGTAGGCGGTTAATGTCATTTACATTATCTGTTTTTTCTTTTTCTAAACGATTTTTTTTTTCTTCGGTAGAGTATAAGACATTGTCTTTATCTACACGTGACTAAATATTTCTCACAAATTTGAGCAATAGAAGAAGATCATGTCAAACTATGAATCCTACCATTTACCCTACGTGCACGTGGAATTAAAAATTATATGAAAAAAAATGCTTCTTCTTCTTCTTTTTTTCCTAAACTAGACTCCAAACTTGTTTTATGGGCAATGCTGAGATCAATTGAATATCATATCTTGGTGTTCTAAATGCACTTGTAAAAAACAAACAAAAAATATGATTCATCATTTTATTGCAGATTTGGTTTCAAGATCAATTGAATATCATATCTTGGTGTTCTAAATGCACTTGTAAAAAACAAAAAAAAAATATGATTCATCATTTTATTGCAGATTTGGTTTCAAGGTATTTTCCCTTCATGAATTACGATTATGAGTTGACATAAGATTTGACATTGACTTTGACCCATTTAATCATTCTTTTAATTTCAAGATTTCAAAGTTCAGAAAAGTTGAGCAAGTAAATGACTAATAAAACAAAACGACAAAATTGAAAGGGGAGCTAACAAAAAAACATTAAATTTCCTGCAAAGATTATTGCAGTTAAGAATTCAAAACAAAACAAAGCAAATGACCTTTAATAATACCAGAAATGCCTAAAACACCACCAGAAAATTAACCGCTAATGGAAATAACATAGTTTCTACTTCAAAAGAAGAAGAGTATCACTCATAATGACAATAATTGAACTAATAAGAAGAAACAAACTCTACCAAATCCATCTCTCTTTTTCCTTCTGAACTCTTTTTATCCTCCCTCTGAAGAAGTTCCATGTTCAGGTTTCGACTCCCATAATAATCACAAGAAAATTAATGATGAACTGGCTGCAACATTCAACAAAGTGAGAGAGATAAACAACAACATTCAACTGCGGAGGAATAAACTATCATCCAAGTGCATGATATCTGGGTACTGGATGGAATAGTCAAACCCAAATTGATTCACATCATCAACAATAGTTTGATCCAAACCCAAGTAAGAGGTTGAAGACATCTTGGGGTGCTCAGAAGCACCTTCAACATTAACAAGTGATTGCTGATTCTGATTCTCAGTGAAAATTTCTTCCATGAAGAGTAGCTCATTGGCAACAGATTGAGAGGGTTCAGATAACACAAGGTTTAATTCGTTATTTGCAGGGTCCTCAGAGAGTGTCACTTGGGAGCTAGAGAGCTTGGTGATTATTGTAGCTGTTTCAGTGATGATGCCTGTTGTGGGGTTCATGGAAGTGTTCTTGCTTCTGACATAGTCTTCAAGAATAGAGGAGTGGGGTTTTCCATTAGATTTCTCTGTCTTCTTGTTCTTTCTAGTTGAATTCTGCCTCCTTTTAGTTGCATTCCAATGGTTCTTTATAGCATTCTCTGTTCTCCCTGGAATGTACTTTGCTATCTCAGCCCAACGGTTTCCCATCTTAGAATGTTTATCTACTAATATCATCTCTTCTTCTTCACTCCAGCTATCTTTCTGATAATGCTCATATACCAAGGATAATGACAAGTTTAAATGTTATATAATATATTGCAGCTGAAATTTGTATAGCTAATTAAAAATTCATAACTGAAAATAATATGTAAATTATATCAAAAAATATAAATCTTGGTAATTGATAGTGTGATTTACTCACGTGCAAACACTAGATACCGCATATCTAAGCAAATAATGGTGGAAGCCTTATCTGGATAACTTGGGTTATATTAACAAAGTATATTAATGGTGAAAATAAGAAAATGTGAGAGAAAACAACTTAATGGTGAAATAAGAAACTATGAATGATTTATTGTGAAAATGTGAAATTATTCAGAATTGATCTCACTTATAGACAATTAAGAAGAGATAATGTATTAGATCTCTAGATGTGCATGAAGATACAAAAGATAGATTCTTGGTTTTTGACAGAAGAAATTAAACAAGGACAGATTATTGAATATTTGAATCTAAGTCTAGATCCTCCAATTAAAAAAAATATCAGTTATCTTGGTTTTTTCACACAACAAATTAAACAAGGACAGATTATTGAATATTTGAATCTAAGTCTAGATTCTCCGATTAAAAAAAATATCACAGATTTCAAGATAATCTAGGAAAAGCTTAGTTAAACATTGATTATTTATAACATTTCATGCAACTTTGTGGAAGAAAGATACATCGACATGCAACTAGCCCTAGGATGTTTTTTAAGGGCAAACTTCTAGGAAACAAATCATGTATGAAAATGAAAAGAAATTAGTATCAAACATGTATCTATACCCAAAAAAAGGAAAAAAAATAAAATAAAAAAGAGATTAACAATATTAAGCGAGTAACAAACAAAAAAACAAACCACCTTAACATGAGGACGCAAATGATTGTTCCATCTCTCTCGACACTGCTTGCCAACCCTTCCTTCCAATTTCTCAGCAATTTGAGCCCATTTTCTTTCACCATATCTCTTCACCAAACTTTTCAGTTTCCTTAAAAAAAACAACAAATAATAATCAACTTAAAAAATTTAGTGCAAATATAAATATATATATATATAAAGCAGGTAAAAAATAAGAGAAGAAAATGGAGTGTTTTCTTGAATCAACCTGTCTTCTTCAGATGACCACTGTCCTTTGATCAAAGGACCAACAGACCCTTTCTTAGTTCTCCTTCCCACCAATTTTGCATTCTTTTGGACATCTTTCAGGAACAATGTGGGGGTTTGGTTGATGTTTGTCCACGTCAAAGCCTCTTCATTTGCTAAGATCCCACCAACAAAGCTTGATTCTTGAGTGTTAGGCCATAGAAACCTATGAGATGAACCACCAGAGCAGGAAAAACTGAAGAACTCATTAGTAAAGACACTTGCATCGTTGTTCCTTGCAACGTTCTCTACATTTTGCTGCTGAGGGAAGTGGTTCTGTTGGCCCCATAAGAACCTATCTATAGATGTCAAAGGAGGGCCTGATCTATGCATGGAAGGGTTAATGGCGTTAATATTTTCACTCCCATAAATTTGAACGCCATTATTACCAAAACTTCCTCCACTTTCCATGAAAGGAGCATAAGGAGACTGAATCATATCGAGTGAAAGGACTAATTTACATGGAGGAAATGATTTGCTTAAGTTATGGGCATGACTTAAGGTTATTTATTAGGTAAAAAACTGTTGACAAACACAGAAGCTTATTCCAAGCCTTGTAATAATCCACATGGATTAGTAGCTATTGATTATGTGCTATATCCAAGGGTCAGGAATCTATAATAGTGTAACTCCTGAACTTCAATTTAGAAAATAAATTGAGGAAAGGAATTATAAGGGAGGTTATTAATCCATATTATTTTTAAAAAATATAAATTTAATTGATATTGAATTTTTATTAATACCATCTTAATTGACTGATTAATTGCGTTGGCATAAATTTTAGTTAATTTTTCAATTATGAGTTATTAGTGTGTGTTAAATGCATTAAAAATTTAAATTTTTTAGCTGGATTTTTAAGTATTTTGAAGAGAGAGAAAAGTCATCTTCCAAAGAAAAAAAAGATCACATTTTGTGACTTCTATGCATGCATATATAGGAAAAGCCATAGCATCTCCCAGAGGTAATTGACATGTAAGAATGAGTACACATTCTGCTAGGATGAAGTACTCACGTGCAAAATATTATCCAAGCGACTATTGGGGAAATTCAGTTCAATCGTTTGTATTTAAATTAACAAAGAATTTGAAGTATAATTGTAATGCAAATATATAAGAATCAAAGTAAACTACGGCCTATGGGCAGCGATAAGGGTTAAAACTTAAAAGTAATGGCAAGCAAATTACATTATTAGTAAACTGATAAAGGTTTGAATTTTGAGTAATCACTTCTCAGAAGGGTTTAATCCTACTAATCCATAGGGATCGATACTGTAGGAAACTCAAAAATTAAAACTGAATGAATAAACCATAAAGCTCAATGGGCGCTTAGTGATGAACAAACATGTGATTGTATGTAAAGATACTATCGCAGGTTTGAATTATATTTATGCCAATTAGTTGAAGGCTAGTTTTTAACTACTTAAGGCTCGATTTGGCTTATATATTTTTTTCTTAACTTTTAATTTGTAAAAAAAATTAAAATATTTGGAGACTCCTACAAGAAAATTACATTTTCATGAGAGAAAAATTAGCCACTAAAAACATTTCAATAACATATGTAACGAATTCAACAAAATATTGCAGTTTCCAACAGGATTTTGTGATTGAAAATTTCTTGCAAAAGTAGTCCGCGAAAAAATGTGTTACTAAGTAGCCACAAATAGTTTGAGATTTGACAATTATGATTATCTTTTATATTCAATTGATGAGAGGATTAGGGGTGTAAATGGGTCAGGCTGGCCCAGCCCAACCTACATCAAGCCTGACTTGGCCCAGCCTTTCAGAAAAGTAGAGTAGGCTTAGGTTTTTAAAAAAGTTTTTTTAACAAATAGGCCGTAGGCCAATTTTGTCAAGCTTGGCCCAAAGCCTTGTAGGCTGGCCTATTTAATTTATTCAAAATAAAATAATATTTATTTTATGTGGCATGACAAACAGGGGTGATAATAAGGTCAGGGGCCTTAGGCCCGGCTTGGCTCGGCTCGTCTTTTTTTATTATTAAGCCCAGACTTATTTTCATGCAAAAGCCTTTTTATTTTAAAGGCCGCAGGCTTCCATAACCAAGCCCGGCCTTGAAGCCTTGGAGGCTGGCCCGTATACATTAAATTTATTTATTTTTTATATTTTTATATTAATCATTTCAACATTCTTTTCTCAGTTTTCTGTCTCTGTTCTATCTCTTCTCCCCGATCTAAGTCATCGTCCCACCAACAGGTAAATGAAGCCATGTTCATCATCTATTTTTATAAGCTATGAGGATTCCACGGCTTATAATGATGCTTATGGCGGCAACCGAGGAAGAAAATTTAATGTAAAATGTGGAAGAAAATTTAATGGTGGGGTTCAAATCTAATGTAAAAAACCTAGTGTAACACCCCGTATATATCCGGTAATGTTATCATAATATCGTATTAAGCTGCGCTTAATTAAAATGCGGAATTACTTTTTCTTTTCAATTATGATGCCATTAACATTACCAACTTGCTTAATAATCAATTAAAAAAAACATCGCTTGTATGTAATTGCAATAAAACAGCTAACTGAAATACCTCATAACATAGATAATATAAGTGTGGCTCTAGTCACGGAACTACAACAACGTAGACCGGACCATCTAACAGTTTATACAACTCCAATCTAAAAGTACCAACAGAAAGTGTCATGGACAATCCCCATACTCACTCAAATAAGGCAACATGCCCAACATCAATCTCAACAACAACATATCATAAATAGCGGAAAACATAAACAGCATCCAAATCCAGTCATGCTAACAAATAAGCAGAAACAACAAAATCAGCTAAGCTCTGGCCTCCCGCCGCCTGAGGCATCAGTACCCATACTACCTGATCCTGAAATAAGCATTCCCCAAACGTGGGGTAAGATCTCTAATCTAGAAATCTCAGTAAGTCAATGAGTCCTCAAGGATCTTCCACCCCAAGCTCACTTACATGTGCAATATAAGTTCAAAAGCAGTTTATCATTTATCATTTCTAAAACAATGCAATACAGCAGATAATCATGTCATGTGTGTCAATACTAATCTACTGGCCAGAGACAGTGCAGGTATACGTCTATCACCTACACACCGTGCAAGTACCACTTGCATTCACCCCGGTACACCGTCTTGTATGGCGCTACATACTCAGGCTTCCCGTCAAGATGAAACAACACATGCATATTAAAAGCCATTACATGTAAAGTTCAATCAACATATCAAATATCCAAAAGCATGTACACAACATGCATAAACCATATCCCCATGAGACATGGTGGAACCACAACATGGCTAAACCGAGGACACGAAAGCTTACCTTGCAAGCTAACTCCAAAAGCCAAGAGTCCACAGCTCAAAGTCCAAACACAGCAGATTCACAATCTGTTATGGACCAACAATACATCAACAACATGCACCACAAGCATACAATATTAAGACAACGCCTTTTCATTACGTTTTCAAGTCTTAAAGCTTCTAACAAAGCCACAAGCCCTTAATCCCATGATTCTGGCTTAGTCCATTAAATACAGAAGTTCAACTTCATCAATCTAGGGTCCACAAACCCCCAATAGCCTACTGTACACACAGCACAGCTACTGTTCTACGAAATCCCAGAATATCCGGATATTCCTCGGGACCATATCCGGATATGCAATATCCGGATATCTCAATGGACATATCCGGATATGCAATATCCGGATATCCAGAATCCCATATCCGGATATCTAGTATCCAGATATCCCAAAACCCCATATCCGAATACACATATCCGGATATCATATCCAGATATCCCATATCCGGATATTCCACGGGCCGATATCCGGATATTTCACGACAGAATGCAGTTTCTGCATTTTCGTGAAGATATCCTTCCAAGGTTGGGTTTTTACCGATTTTAAACACCTAAACATGCATTTCTAGGTGTGTTCAACATTACCCCACAACAAGTTATCACCTTTTGACCTTAACATGCATCAAGCTTTCATTTTTAAGCATTAAAATCAAGATCAAAGGTTGGTATACATACCAAAGGCTTAAAACAGAGAAGGAGATGCTCTTGGAGCTCAACACAGCCCCTCAAGTCTGACTCAAGAAAGATGCACGAAAATGGCTTCACAAGGGTTGGTTCTTCTCACCAAAGGTCACCACTTGGACTCCAAAATGCCATAACTATGGCTTTCAGCAACCACACCACCCAAAACAGCACTCTCACCCACACACAGAGGATGGAAACTCAGAATACACCCTCACACTTCCTCACCATGCATGTTCTTAAGTGTATACAAGCTCAAAGAGGGAAGAAATCAAGTAAAGGTGACAACTTGAGTTCAAAAATGGTGGAAGGAGGCAATGGAACAGTAAACCACCCTCAGCCCACCAAGTGCCTCACGTAGGAATTCTGGTATGCTTAGGGTTATGTGCTAAAATGCATATATATAGTCACTTAGCCATAAAACACACAGTATTAACTTTAATTGCTATGCTTAGCATTTTAATCCCAAACTTTGGATTATGAAACTACATAATTTTCTAAGATTTATCATATTTTTCTTATAATTTTATGAGCACTTTTCCAGTACGCGCTTTTCCAAGCCAGTACCGGTTTCCAGCACCAGTTCTCATTATCTGGACTTGAAACTCGTTTTACAATTCCTACATATCATTCTAGTAATTATCATGCACTTACATTAATTTTCCGGGATACTTTTTCGGCACGCATTTATACTGACTAGCAGAACCGGTATCTGCACTTTTCTTCCGAAAAGTGACTTTCATCATTCTTAATCACTTATTACGATTACTAAGCCTCATAAATAATTATTAGGGTCAATTATGGAATCATTTCCTATTTTCTCGTAATTTATTAATTAAATACCTTAATTAACGGTGCGGGTTCTTACACCTAGAATATTAAGGAATGTGGAAGAAAATTTAATGTAAAAAATCTAGAATGTGGAAGAAAATTAAGGAAAAGCAACGTAAAATAAAGTAAATGTGCTGTTGTTATTTTGATTTTTTAATATTAATATGTTTTTTTATTATAAAAGAAACAACTATTATTTTCTTACAAAAAAATACATATCAGTGCATGATTAATGGGCTAAATACTGCTGCAAATTGGAAGGTAAGGTTTTTATTTTTAATAAATAAACAGGCTACAGGCTTAAGACAGACTTTTATTTTTTGTAAACGAACCAGGCCATAGGCTAATATTATATTCGTAACAGTAACAGGCTAAGGCCAGTCTGACACGTTTAAATACAGGCTTGGCCCGTTAAGATCAAAGTTCGGCTCAGCTCGGCCCGTTAACACCCCTAATGACAAAGTACCAATACCAACCTTAATTTTTAGATAAATGACATTCTCTTGTAAACTTTATTTCAGAACCCAAAAATAGATTGTGTTGACTCTTTCTT